ATATTGTTTTACAAGTGCTGATCTATTTTCAGAATTGATTCCATCTTTCTTTTCTACAGTACCTTCTCTGTAAATCTATTCTCATGGCTTGGATTTTGAGAGTGTGTTTGGACATTGCTGGCTTAAATCCACAGACACCAAAGGATTTTGTTTTTCTTTAATTGCAGGAGTATTCTGTATGCTGATATCTGCTAGGAATTGCTATAGCACATATAAAATGTAGGATTTCACACAGCCTTGCAACCTGGCTCTGTGGTTAAAAGTGCTTGTTGCATAATCATAAACTCGAGTTCAGATACCAGTAACCACACAACAAATCAGACATCTTTCCCACATGTCCATAACTCTAGTACTGTGAGCATCAAAGACTGGTACTTGCTGGTAGCCAGCTTAGTAAATAAAAAACACAAATGAAGAAATGAACAAAACCTTGAGCTGTGACTTGGGGGAGAGACTCTGCATCAAATGAGTAAGTCAGAAAGTGATTGAGAAGATACTTGACCTGTCTCTGATCTCAATATGTACACATATTTGTGTATATCTCCACACTCATGTGCATATAACACGTACACAATCTTGCATCAGGACTCTGGCCTTGTTAGCCATTCATCTTTGTTGGCCCGACAAGTCATAACACATACTTAACCTTATATATAACCTCATCATAACCTTTCTCTACTTTCTAAATAGACTGAAAATATTTTGGGGGACTGATCCAATTTTTAATTATACTACAGTGGATAATCTTGGGTGCTTTTGAACGTGGGGTGAATTGTTCCTACATTAATATCATGTGGTGTGCACATAGGCACATGTGTGTAGTTCTTACATTTATTTATAAGAAGAAGATGGCAGTGAAAGCTGGCCAGTGTTCACATACTTCAGAAGTGATATCTCTGTTCCTTTGAGCAGTTGTCTGTGAGCAAGCTTCTTGCTATGCCTTTACCATCTGTTATTTTTTTGTTTCTTAATTGCTGGCATTAGGAGGCCTAATAAAGGATAACCGGAGGGCACAACATGTCAGGAAGACAAGGCAAGCAGCATCATGACGACCTGAATCTAAGATCTGGTTCTGCCTCCCATTAGCGCTGGGCCTCTGGGCAAAGCACCATGTGTCCTAAATCTTTCTACAGTGAAAAGTAGAAGCATCTGGAAAAGTAAGAAAGCCCTATGTCTTCTTCCTTCCTAGGGAGGTGGCCGTAAGAAAGCTCATGCTCTCTTCCTTCCCAGGGCAGCGCCTACTCCACCTAGGCTTTCGTGGCCCTCGAAAGGTAGAAGAATGACTTGGTCAGATGGCTCAAAGCTGGTGTTCTGAGTATGCTGTATTTTATTATTGAAAGATTCAATCTGCATTTGCATAGGCACAGAGATCCTACCTGCTGCACTGCCAGACACTTGTGGCCCCCTTTCCCTTTTTTCATCAGGAGATCATGTATTTTCCTTTTCCTGCCTCTATAATTCTGTGTTTCCCCCCAAGTTCCACCTGGGATCTCAAAGGAAAGTTGTTCTGTAGAGTTGGGTGGACTTTAGACTTTGGTCAGATTCCCAAGAACTCTCACCAGCACATTGGCCCTTGTTTGCTCCTCTGGCACACTCATTGGCTTAGAGGTTCCCGTGCATCATCCAGGCAAGCTCAAGGCAGGAACCTGGAGAATGGGGCTAAAGCAGA